GCTTCTCAGTACTATGTAATCATTGGGAATTATTTAGCTCACAGGTTATTGGTCATGCTTTCCTTGGGCTTACAGAGATTCACTCTTCATGTGTGCACTCTAATATTTAGGTAGGCCTGATAATGACTGTTGTGTCAATCTCTGGAGGTCTTTTTAAAGACTCTTTCTGTTTATAATTCTGCCCAGTGATTTCCAGCCTCTCAGCTTGAGCTTTGTCTCCTTAGCTCAATAGAAAAACCTAGTGCTTTGCCTTGGTTCCTGCCAGGTTCAGGCCAGCAAACCCTGTTTAAGAGACAAAGGAAGATGTGAGAGACAGAGAGTATCTTTGAGGAGGGTCAGGGACTTCATTGAAATGGAGCCCTGAACTGACTGAAGCACCCAGGTTTATTGAGGAACAACGAAGGCATAGAGTTCTGCTGAGCGCAGATGTTTGTTTTAGGTAGGAAGGCAGGCAAGAAAGGCATGGTGACAGTTTGGCTGAATACCTAACTTTTGTCTGATTGTCCTCTAGGGAATTTCCTTGTTTTCCCTATAAGGTCCATCTATGCTCAAGCTAGCAAAACATCCTGACTTCAAAATGTTCCGTCTCGGGGCTGGGGATTTAGCTCAGTGGCAAAGCGCCTGCCTGGCAAGCGCAAGGTCGTGAGTTCGGTTCCCGGTACCGGAGAAAAACCAAAAAAAAAAAAAAAAAAGAAAATGTTCCGTCTCCTCGGAGTTAGCAGTCTTCTACCCGAACAACCCAACCTGAGCCACCGGTTGGTTGGTTGTTGCAAGGAACTCCACAGATTCCCCCTTACCCTAATTCTGGAATGTAACTTTAAGTGCCAGTTCAAAACACAAGACTTCTTTGGATTTTCTTCTCTCAAGGATCAGAATCCTGTTGGTGCCTGTTATCTAACATGTGAAAAATTTTTTTTCATATATTTTATCCACTTTTCTGATTGATTACAGTAGGAGGGTAAACTTGGTCCTCAATGTTCCATCATGACTTAGAATCAGAAGTTGGGCTCAACCTTTTTAATGTTCAGCTCAGCTTTTCAATGTGTTGTTCAAGTGTATTTTATCCGCCTTTTTTTCCTTCATTCATTTCAGGTGTGGGATTCATTTTATGCCTTCAGTTTTTACTATAGCATGGTTGGTCGTTTGTCCTAAGTAGTCCCATTTTATTGCTGTCTGTTATTAGTTACAGAAACTTTCCTTATGTTATAGGTTGTGTTCATAAAGGTATCTACCTAGTCACTGAAAAGCGTATAACTTCTTTATAAATAATCTCCTACATTCAGAATCAAGACACATCAATCTCCAATTCTGAAGATAGCACCGAGTAACTAAAAATATCATAGAAACCACTGATGAGTTTTTGGTTGCAAAATTTTAAATAAAGCCTTATGTATTCATGTATTTTTGTAAATTAAAAGGTTGCCATGTACATACTTAGCCCCTGCTCTTTTTTTCTTGAGACAGGGTCTAAGTTGCTTTAGCTGGGCTCAAGTTTGGAATTCTCCTGCCTCAGCCTCCCAGATTACTGGGACTACAGGCATGTGTCACCACTTCTCACTTTTACTCCTTTTAAAAAAGGACTAATTGTTACCTTATAGTTCTCTTAGGGTAGGTTAGCTGAGCATAGCCCTGTTGGGTCCCTGCTTTTCTCTGGGATTGTGTTCTTTCCCAGCTCACTTGTTGACAGAATTCAGTTCTTTGTAGTTGTAGCACTTATATTCTTATCTTTCAGAGTTTTTTTCTCCACAGCATGACGTTTGTTTCATCTTTGACGTTTGTTTCATCTTTGAACACAGGAAAACACTGCAGTCTTTTATTTTATTTTTTAAAATTTATTTTAAAAATAAAAGAAGGAAAACTTTAACAAACAGACATCCATTTACAAAATAGCATGAGAACAATACAAGCAATACTGAATTACAAAGTGGTAGGAAATTAACAATGGTTGTTGTGTTACATATTGATATCTTCAAAGTGGTTTCTCAGGAAAACAAATAAATACATGCAAAATTGATAAAATCATTAGTCATTAACTGTTCCTTTCAGTAAAGCGATAGAAATCAGTAGTACAACTATGTTAGCTATCCTGTATACACATGCATACATAATTTCCCCTTCTTTCTTTTCTCTTTTCCCTCACCCCAGTTGCTCTTTATTTTTGAGCAGTTTCCATTGCAGTCTTTTAAAGTGCTCACTTTAATTAAGTTAAGTCAACCTAGGAGAATTATCTATCTTGATTAAATCAGAGTCATTTAGTGGCTAAATTATGGAAGTGATACGGATATTCTATCATACAAGTTTCAACCACATTTAAGGGAGGTAATTTTATAGGGTGTTTATAATAAAGAATGGGAATTTTGGGGCCATTTTGGGATTCTGATTACCATGTCTTGCAAACAGGACAAGGCATTTAGGGGAATTTTCCATTTTCTCTATTGGCTTTACCTCAGTGTTATGAATGTGGCATACATCTATGTTAGGAAGCAATAATAATTTAGGGAATACTTAGTCTTTACTAGGTACTTTACATGCATTACCTTAATAATAGCTACAGTAGCTCTGGGAGGGCTGTTGATAATCTTTCCCAGTTTAAATATGCAGATGCTAAATCTAAGAAAATTTAGATTGCATGTTGAAATTTAATTTGGATCTACATAGCCTATGCTTGTTTTATTCTACTACACTGTCTCCCAGTATAAATTTTGATTTGTGTTATCACTTAAAATTTAATGTAAGTGCACTTTTCAGATACTTTATTACAAATCTGATACTTAAATTTTTTATTGTGATAATGTTTCTGTAGTTATGGTTTTAAGAAGGGAGATTATCCTTTAAAAGAAATATGTACAAATACAGATAACATTGCATCCTTATGTTTGCTTCAGAATAAGTTATGGGACTGAGGGAGTTGAAGAATGGATGAAAAAGTATTTGTAAAACAAAACTGAACATAATCTGATGATTTTTGATGCTGAGTAATGGATAATAGAGTTCATTATTTTGTGTCTGATTTTGTATATCTTCAACAATTTTTACAAATGAGGAAAATGTAATTTTTCTTTGTTACAACTGTAAGTAAGAAAAACTGGCTAAAATTTTTATTCCTTAAACAATGATATTTATAATTTTAGTAGCCTCAGTCTTTAATGCTTTTCATGGAACCATAAAGCTATTCATTGAAGCATTTCTTCTGTTAAAATGGTAATTTACAGCAGTTGAGTTGATTCTGGAGACCAGTTCTTTGGGTATAAATCTCAACATTGTGATAGTTAACAGTTGTGTGAACTTGGGCAGGTTTCTTTTTAGTTCCTCAGGTCTTTTGGTTTTTTTTTTTCTTTCTGTTTTTCATTTGTAAAGTGGTAATACTTGCACCTAACCATACACACAATTATTGACTGTATTATGTAATGAAAAGACATTAAGATAAGATAGCAAAAAAGATGTGTATGTACATATACACTTGTGCTTGTGTATGTATGTATCTCTGAGTTGTTTTTTGAAAAACTGGTTGTGTGTGTGTGTGCATGTGTGTGTGTGTGTGAGAGAGAGAGAGAGAGAGAGAGAGAGAGAGAGAGAGAGATGATATTAGTGTTTAAATTCAGGGCTTTGTACATGCTAGGCAAACAGTCTACCACTGGGATACACCCCTAGTCCCAAGTTTTGTTCTAAAATAGGAATCTGAGATAATGGTTTCCCTTTTGTAATTAGCTATCACACATCCTTGTCATGCTTTTTGAGCCTGTGGTTTTTAAATGTTTTTGCTTTTCACAACATATATTTACAGTGTTTTCCATTAGGAGTCATGTTGGTAGGAGTCATCTTTGGTAGGTCTGTTCTTTCTTGGGATTGTGTTTCATTGCATAGGATGTTTACATTTATATTTCACTTCTCTTGCTATATTTAGAACAGTTGATCAAAATATGTGATGACTGTTTAAATTTTTTTGAAAAGATACATTACCACTAGTCCCCCTGAAAATACTTCCCCACACTTCAAACATACTTAGCCCATCTCCTTGCCACTTTCTGAGACAGTTCTAGAAGTCCTCTTTCATGAGTTTCTTTATGAGGTATGATCAAGGATTTGAATGCTGATGTGATTCTATGGAAAAGCAGGCTCATAAAAATACTGTGGTGTGTCCTCATCCACTTTATTCACTAGATGTGGTACCATGTAACTTCTGACTCTTCTGAGCATCAAAATGATCATAAAAGATAAATGTTTTGAATCAATTCAGGGCATAATCTATGGCAACACAACTAAAAACATGAAATCAGACTTCCAGAATTGCTTCATTAAATGGCAAAAATGGTGGGAGAAGCTGGGTGTGGTGGTGCATGCCTGTAATTCCAGCACTCAGGAGGCTGAAGCAGGAGGATCACCATGAGTTTGAGGCCAGCCTGGGCTACATAGTAAGTTCAAGGCTACAGAGTGAGAACCTGTCTCCAAAAAAAAAAAAGAGGGGGAGCAAGTTTGAAGTGAAGGAGGGTATTTTGAGACATATTGATAGCAGTTTGCCTTTTTCTGTCGTAATTTTCAAAATTTAAATATTCACTATTTTTTTATTACACCACTTAATGTCAGTCAAGACCAGTCATTGTCACAAGCACACATGCCCTCAAACATTTTCAGGTGTCCTGTAGGAGAAAGAACTACTCCTGGTTGGGATCTATGCATCTTATTCAAATTTTAATGGTATTGTCATAGAATTGTTGGAGTTCTTCTTTTTTCATAGTCTTACCTAACGTGTGCATTAAGATATCTGGAGTGAAAAGTGTTAAGCTAAATTTTTTGTATTACTAAGTAATTTCAAGTCCTGTGGAGGTTTTTATATTGGAGAACATATAAATCTGCTCTCTATCCTTGTCTTAACGAAAATACTGAATGTGTTATATGGGAATACATATATGTCTAGTTTTGAAAATCTCCATAAGACTGATACTCCCACCATTGCCTGAAAGATTTTTATGAGCTTAGCTATCAACAACTCTTTTTTGTAGGTCATCGAAATTGAAGATGCTTCACCTACCAAGTGTCCGATAACAACCAAATTGGTTTTGGATGAAGATGAAGAAACTAAAGAACCTTTAGTGCAGGTTCATAGAAATATGGTTATCAAATTAAAACCGCATCAAGTAGATGGTAAGAAACTATTAAATGTTTAAGTCACTTTTAGTTATATTTTACCGTGTGTTATTTTTCCTGTGTGCCTTACATTCTGCTAAGCACTGGTGATAAATTTATGAGCCAAAACTAACATGATCCTTAAGTGAGGAAGAAGAAAACTGAGTGATTGTAAACACAGTGAGGGTCATTAATGGGGAAGAAGTGTTTCTTGTAAGTGGGTGTATAAAGCCAGACATGGAGGCACACGTCCTTAAATTTTAGCCCGTGGCTGACTGAGGCCGGAAGATTGCAGGCAGTTTGAGGCCAGCCTGGGCTACATAGTAAGTTCAAGGCCAGCCTGAACTACATAGTGAGGCTCGGTCCCAAAAAACCAAAAAACCCAAAAAACAAATGGGTAGATATTTGTATAGCAAGTGGATGTCATAGTCTGTATTAATTTGCCCAAAGGAGTAGGCTAGCTACACTGAACTCAAAGCCTTCTTTAGCAAATGCTATTTCAGCATTTTCAAGTAGGTTTTAAAATAAAATTCCTAAATTGGTATTAGTAAGCTGTTCAACTGTCTCTACCCCCTGCTTTGTTAAAGTGGAATCATGAAGTCATTTTTGAATGAGTACGTGAATTAATTCATAAGAGAAATTCTATAGTACCTCCTTCTTCCTTTGCTGACCTCCTTTCTTGCTCTATCTTTACTGTTGAATGAAAGGAGAGATATGGAATTGTCTCCCTTTTCAGATTGGCTCAGTAAAATTGAAAATATATTTGATAGAAAGTTATTCCCTTTTTGGATAAAGTTTTTAATTTAAGTATTTTCGTTCAAGTCTCTGGATGTTTCCATGATACAAAGAAAATCTGTATAAAAATATGGATAATATAAATGAAAGATACTATATTTGTTGCAGGCTCATGTCTTGGTTTTATTGGTGGTAAGATCTCATTTATGTATAAGAATTTCTTTAGCTCCAAGTAGTATTTTAAAATTCTGTTTCTTAGAAGTTTTGTTTGTTTTTGCTATGTTTATATGGAAGGAGTTTTAACTTGGACCTTTAAATTGAACTTAATAAAACTATTATTTTTAGGTGTTCAGTTTATGTGGGATTGCTGCTGTGAATCTGTGAAGAAAACAAAAAAATCTCCGGGTTCAGGATGTATTCTTGCCCACTGCATGGGTCTTGGTAAGACTTTACAGGTAAGAACTAAAGAATGTGAAAGTATCCTATTTTTGTGCATATTTTAACGTATATTGGTTTCTTTTATATTCCGAGGAGTATTGGGGGCTGGAGATAAAACAGTGAACAAGAATAATAAAATCCTTTCTCTAGAATCTTATATTCCAGTAGAGAATAAAGTAGGAAATTACTCATTCAGATAATACATAGTAAAGGAGGATTGAGAATTAGGGAAGAGGCAATATTTGAGTAGATATCCTAATGAAGTTTGGGGTTATAGGTATGGCCAACAACACCTGCAAAGACTTTGAAGTGGAAACTAACTTCATTTACAACTTTAAATAATCTGTGATGCTAAAGTAATGACAAAAAAATTTTTTTTTGAGAAAGGGTCTCTCTCTGTAGTGCAGGCTGGCCTTGAAATCACTATGTTGTCCAGGCTGGCCTTGAACTTGTGGCAGTCCTCCTGCCTCCACCTCCTGAGTGCTGGGATTGCAGGTGTGCACCACCACACCTGGCTTTTGAAAAATTATTTTTCATAATTAAGATAAGCACATTATTATGTGCTTCCTGAGTGTGCAAGGCTGTGGGTTCCATCCCCAGTACTGCCAAAAAATAAGACCAAAACAAAACATTTTTGCAGTTCTAAATGGCAAGTGTTGCAGCAGAGATGAACAGTTCTGTATGTTATATAAGTTCTGTATGCTATATTATTAAAATGGAAAAGAATAGTATTGCAGAATTGTGTTTTAAATGTACAGTGGTATTTTTTGAGAGGCTTTTGGGATATTCTATGGAGAATGTTTTGGTTTAATAAGATCTCATTCATAATATTCATATTGATCATACAGACATGGAGCTTTAGAGTTGGAAGGAACTTGTACATTGTAGGGTTCAACTTTCTCATTTTACTATTTTATTTCTTTTTTTTTTTTGCTTGGTTTGGAAATGATGATCTGTTACTTGATTTATAGTCTAAAGCAAAACAAAATCATTAAGTTGTAAGACTGCTTGAATTACATATAGGAATGCTATTGATTTCTGGGTGTTGACTTTGTATCCAGCTACACTGCTGAATTTGTTGATTAATTTAAGAAGTCTTCTTGAGGAGTTTTTGGGGTCTTCAATGTGAAGTATCATGTCATCTGCAAATAGTGATAGTTTTACTTCTTCCTTTCCTGTCCTTATTCCTTTTATTTCTCTCTCCTGTCTTATTGCTCTGGCTAGTGGTTCCAGAACTATATTGAACAGGAGTGGTGACAGCGGACATCCTTGTCTTGTTCCCGATTTTAAAGTAAAAGCTTTCAGTATTTGTCCATTTAGAATAATGGTGGCTGTTGGATTGTCATAGATGGCTTTGATCAGGTTAAGGTAGAGGCCATCTATTCCTATTTTCTGTAGAGTTTTTATCATGAATGCGTGTTGGACCTTGTCGAAAGCTTTCTCTGCATCTGTTGAGATGATCATGTGGTTTTTGTCTTTGGCTCCATTGATATGGCATATAACATTTATAGATTTGCAAATATTGAACCAACCCTGCATTCCTGGAATGAATCTGACTTGGTCGTGATGTATGATTTTCTTGATAATTTGCTGCATTCTATTTGCTAGTATTTCATTGAGTATCTTTGCATCTATATTCATTAGGGAGATTGGTCTGTAGTTCTCTTTCTTGGTTTTGTCTTTCTCTGGTTTTGGTATCAGTATGATGCTTACCTCCAGAAATGAGTTAGGGAGAATTGCTTCCTTTTCAATTTCATTGAAGAGTTTGAGGAGGGTTGGTATTAAATCTTGTCTGAATTTCTTGTAAAGTTCTGCTGTGAATCTATCAGGGCCTGGGCATTTCTTTGTCGGTAGGTTTTTAATCATGTTTTCAATCTCATAAATTGATATTGGGTTGTTCAGGAATTTTATATCATCTTGACTCAACCTTGGTAATTTGTTCATATCTGGGAATCTCTCCATTTCTTCTGAGCTTTGTATCTTATGGGAGTAAAAATTTTCAAAGTAGGTATTAATGATCTTCTGAATTTCTGTGGAATCTGTAGTAATTTCATCCTTTTCATTCCTTATTGCATGAATCTGAGTTCTTTCCTTCCTTTTTTTGATAAAGTTGGCTAGGGCTTTATCAATTTTTTTTATTCTTTCAAAGAACCAACTCTTTGATTCTTTTATTTTTTGTAGGGTTTTCTTCATCTCAATTGCATTAATTTCTACCCTAATCTTTATAATCTCCTCCCTTCTTTGGGCTTTGGGCCTGACTTGTTCTTCTTTTTCTAAAAGTTTAAGATGCAGCATTAGGCTATTTATTTGCTTTCTTTCTGTTTTTCTTATGTGTGCATTCACTGCTATAGATTTACCTCTGAGGACTGCTTTCATTGCATCCCACAGATTCCGTTAAGTTGTATTTACATTTCATTTGTTTGTAGGTATTTTTTTAATTTCCTCTTTAATTTCTTCTGCAACCCATTGGTTGTTCAGGAGGTTGTTGTTTAATTTCCAAGTGTTTATCGAGTTTTTGGAGTTCCTTTTGTCATTAATTTCCAATTTCATGGCTCTGTCGTCAGATAATATGCACGGGATAATTTCAGTTCTTTTGCATTTCAGAAGGTATGCTCTATGGGCTAAAAAGTGGTCTATTTTAGAGAAAGATCCATGTACAGCTGAGAAAAATGTGTATTCTGATGTTGTGGGGTGGAACACTCTGTATACATTTACTAAGTCCATTTGTTGGCAGCTTTGGTTCAGATCTGTTTTTTCCTTGCTGATTTTTTGTCCAGTTGACCTATCTCTTTGTGTCAAAGGGGTGTTGAGGTCCCCTGTTACAATGATGTTATTAATTATATGGGTTTTCATGCCTGTTAAGATTTGTCTTGTATAATTTCGAGCTCCGATATTTGGTGCATAGATGTTTATGATTGTTATCTCATCCTCTTTCAGTGTTTCCCTGACTAGTATGTAGTGACCTTCTTTATCTCTTTTGATTGTTGTCGGTTTGAAGTTTACATTGTCTGCAAACAGAATAGCTACCCCTGCTGTTTTCTGGGTTCCTGTTGCATGAAGGATTGTTTTCCATCCTTTGACCTTTAGTCTGTGGGTTTCCTTTTCAGTGAAATGTGTTTCCTGTATACAGCCTATCATTGGATTTTGTTTTTTAATCCACTCTGCCAGTCTGTTTCTTTTGACTGGCGAATTGAGGCCATTTAGTTTTATAGTTTTCACCGATATGTGCTGATTTATCATTGTGATGTTATTTGGTGTCCTACTTTTTCTACCTGTTTACTTGCTTGCTCTTCTTGATGTTTCCTTTCTACTGTTGTTCTTGAAATTGCAGTCAGATTTTTCTCTGTCTAAAATATCTTTTAGTGCTCTTTGTAATGCTGGCTTGGCACTCATGAAGTTCTTCAATTGTTCTTTGTTGTGGAAATATTTTATTTCTCCGTTGAATTTGAGGGATAGTTTGTCATGGTACATCAGTTTTGGTTGAATTACTAACGTTTTTGTGGATATTTAAATGTAAGTGGCAACTTAATTTGTTTTCTTATAGGTGGTAAGTTTTCTTCATACAGTTCTTTTGTGTGACAAATTGGACTTCAGTACTGCTTTAGTGGTTTGTCCTCTTAATACTGCTTTGAATTGGATGAATGAATTTGAGAAGTGGCAAGAGGGATTAAGAGATGATGAGAAGCTTGAGGTATAATATTTTAAGTATTTTCTATTGTCAAAATAATTGCATGAAATTCATATAGTAAAAGAAAAATTAATTACTAATGATGTGTACTTTGGTAGCATTATGTAATATTTGTACATTTTTAATAGCAACTTTTAAAAATCCTTATTTTCCCATAAAAGGTCTCCGAACTAGCAACTGTGAAACGTCCTCAAGAGAGAAGCTACATGCTGCAGAGGTGGCAAGAAGATGGTGGTGTTATGATCATAGGGTATGAGATGTATCGAAATCTTGCTCAAGGAAGGAATGTGAAGAGTCGAAAACTTAAAGAAATATTTAATAAAGCTTTAGTTGATCCAGGTAAATTCTTTACAAATACAGATTCAAAGAAACAAGTGGAAAAATGTGTTTATATTTTATATATAGCAAATATTAATTGAGCAACTACTAAGTACTGGTTTTGATTCATTTATACTTAAGATTTTGTCATTTTGATTCTTAATATTGGTTATTTTTTCATTAAGATAGAATACCCCTTCATGTTGCTATTTGTTCAGAATTTATTTATTAAGTCGGGAGTGTTTAGAGTTTTCATAGGAGACCTCAGACAAAAATACATCAGCTACTTCATGTCACAGTAAAATACTCTTACAGCTGTGTCAACATTAGGTGATTATGAACTCTATACATATTCTCAAAGCAGTTATACCTCTTTCCAGAATTCAAAAGAATTGAGGTTTGCACATTTCTTTTAAAGGATAATCACTATGGAAGGTTAATATTTCCAATACTGTCAATCCTTATTAAGTATAATCTAATGTGAGGGCCAAATATTTGATCTTTGTTTGCTTTTTGGGATGGTCTCACTATGTAGTTCAGGTTGGCCTCAAACTCAAGGCAATCCTCTTGCCTCAGCCTCCTGAATGTTGGAATTATAGCTGTGTACTACTGTGCCTTGCTCGATTGTTTTTGAGTACTTAGAAAAGTAACCAGTTGTATTATATGCCAAGTAAAACCAAGTTTTTAAATCTTAAGTTTTTAAATTATGTGCATAACTTCTTTACAGATGTTACTGTCCTCTACTGTATTACTTCAAGAGAATATAGATTTTATGTCTGTCAAGAAAATCTGGGTACTTGTCATTTTCAAAGGTAATAGTCATCTTAGCAGTCTTGTGTAATCACAGCACTCAGGAGGTTCAAGGCCAGCCTGAAGTACCTAGTGAGACCCTGTCCTAACACCCTCCTCAACAACGACAGTAACAACAAAACTAATAGTAGTCTTTAGAATCCAGCTGTTTGCCTATTTTTGGAGAATGATATAATTACAGTGGTAACTTGGTTAACAAACTAAATTTTTTCCACAGTTCTCATCACAAACTGAATTGGACGAGAACCAAATCAAATTCAGTGGTTAGGTTCATTGTTGATCTTATGAGGAAATTTATCAGGTCTTAACCATTTTGGTTTTTGTGACTAGAATCATGGAGACAATTTTGTTTGTGAACCAAGGCACCACTGTATCATGTTTGAATTTTGTAACTGTAAATTTAAGGCCTGATAAGAAATTTATCTTTTTTCCCATAGTCAAAGTGGGTGTCTAAAAATTCTGTGTTTGATTTATTGTTGGAGGATTCATAATGAATGATATAATTTCAGCAGATTTAGCAACCATTTAAAACAGCTATTTCAGGTATTTAAGGTGGTTTTTTTTTTTTGCCTGTGAGAAAATGAGTAATAAAGAAATTACAGCTCTTTACATGAAGTTTAATATTTGTCTTGTAGTGACATTCAAGAAAATCTTTAATTTGTAATAATTTTTTATTAGGAAAGTTGAAATGACAGCATAGATAATTCCTATAAAGCATGTCCCCTGTACCCCTATTGTTATTATCTTACATTGCCATGATTGATTTTCTAGGAAATTGGCACATTATTGGCGTGTCATCATTAACTAAATTGGAAACCAGTTTTTCCATCCAGGGTACCACATTACATTTAGCCATCACATGTCCTTACTGTCTTGATCATCCATATGATGACCTTTTGAGATAATTTTTCAGTCTTTGTTTATTACTGTCTTATCCGTCTTGAGAACTCCTTGTCCAGGTATCCTGTAGAATATTCCCTAATCTGAGTTTTTTTATTTTTCTTGTGTTTAAACTGAGGTTATAATTTTTTAAGTGAATATACCAGAGTTTTCAAAGTACCCTGTTTGTTTTCATTAATGGTGATATTATGCTATCATTGATTTGTGTCAATATGAACTAATTTTTTTATGTGTTGGCCTATAAACTAAGGTTCTTTTTTTGTTCAGATCGTTTCACTTTGGCCTTTGGAAATTTTCTTAAGTTAATTTCTATATCCCTTTGATGTACCTCTTATGCTTTTTGTTCTTAAGCAGTTCATTACTTTCTGGTACAATAAGATCCTTCAGGTCCATGTTATATTGTCCCATGTTCAGAATCTGTCATTTCCCCCAAGGCACCATGGACCCTTTTATTGAAAAACATCATTTGCAAGATGTAGGCACTGTGTATGTTTGTTGTGACAAATGTCATTGCTTCTAGGACCTCTCAGTGGACAGAGCTATATGATGATGTATGCATGTATTCTAATTCATGTGTCTATATGTGCATGTATATGTTACAAACATTCATAATGTTACCTTTAACTTCAATGTGGTACCCAAGGTTCATTTTATCCTTCTTTTTAGTTATTCACTATCTTGCCTTTCTACCAGTGAAAATTTTAGTTCCACCATTTTCTGTCTTTGGACTTATTTGTTCAGCCTACTATATGTAAGGCAGTTTGAAAATTGTTCATTTATGCTATTGTGACAAACAAATTTACTAACTAGAATACAGTGTTTATGATTCTTTTCTGCCTATACTTTTATAATTTCCATAAAACATCGTTTTCCGAAGTTGTATAAGTCTATTCCTTTTATGTTAATTGCTTACATATTTTAAAGTTTATTCCTTGTGAAGTGAAGTTCATTGGGTTTTGATGAATGAAGAAGCAAACCAATTTATAACTTTTTTATTATAGTCTTTTTTTTTCCAAAAAAAAACCCTGTGTAATTGCTTAATGAATCATTCTAAGCACTTACCATTCATTGTGCTAATCTGAATATTAATCTGCATTTTCTTATATACAGTGTAATGATTTGAGTTGTTCTATTGTGGAAAAATACATATAACACAGAATTAACCATGTGAGTAGGGCATGCAATTCAATGGCATTTAGTATGTTCACAGTCCTGTGTAACCATCACAACTATTCCACTGAATTCCAGTGCATTTCTATCACCTTGAGAAGAAACCCTGTACCTTTTAGTAGTTACTCCCGTATGCCTTTTAACCCATTCCCTGGTAAGCACTAATCTGCTTTCTGTATCTAAAGATAGAATATTGGTATATCTCTTCTTTCAATTAGCTTGATTTTTCCAGCACTGAACTCAGTTGTAGAATGTATCAGTATATTTTGTCCCTTTGCACTCACCAATAATATTTCATTGTATGTATAGTGTATCAGTTTGAGTTTCAGAGGAAGAACAGATTTAATATAAAATATATGATGTATAAAGTATTACCAAGGTAGGCTTACAGTGGCCACCTGAAGAGTCAAATGTATAAAAATGCAAAAGCGCCACCTGCATGCTGGAAAGTGGGAGGATCCAGTGGAAAGTGGAAGGCCTAGAGCTCACTGCAAAGACGTGTACAAGTCCACATTAGTAAGCCAAAGGAACTTGCTGGGAACCTAGAGATAGACATTCAAAGGCAGGAAGCAAAAGCAAGACTTCTTTCTTCTTTCCCTTTTTATTACATCTGTTACATCCTGGCTAAAAGCTTCAAGTTGACACCACAATTAAGTGTCATAATTTACCTCTTGTCACCTAGACAAGCAGATATATTTCCTTAATTCATACTTAGTCTCCAGGTACAATAGCAAATTCACAATTATGCCAAGCATGGTACAAATGTCCTGTGTACAAATGGAAACACAGTAATTCCCTCTCCAGAATACAAGGCAAAGTCTTATTTTGGTGATGCTTACTCCTAGCATTGTGTAATTTAAACATTATGAATCAGTATAGGTTTAGCAATACTGAAGAACCATTAAGTGTGTTGGCATTATGTTACAAAGGAAGAAAATAGAGATGCCTGCTCAATATATGTGTACATATGTACAAGCATATTAGCAAAATAGAGAAACTGTACAATCCTTGTTTCTATATCTGGTCATGTAGTGATAGCTTGTATTTATAACTACCTTCTTCTACTACCCATTTTGTATTCTCTTGGCCTTCAGGAAGTACCTCATAAAGTCTGTCTGCTTTTCCTGGTGGAACAACACATACCTTCATTTGTGAAGGTTCTGAGCTACTTTTCATCCTGCCTGGATTAGGTTGTTGCAGTAGTTTCACATTGATCTTAATAATGGCAAGATAATACTATTGGGTACCTTAAGAGATCTCCTGCACTCCACGTATAGTCTTCCTTTTATAGTCGAATTTCCCCTTGATAATCTGGATCAGTCCTCCCCTGCGAATACTGTAAGTCCTTTTTACCTTGTTTAATCTTAGGCATGAGGAGCCCAAAATGACCAAGGGGAAACTTTAGCTTCCAATTCAATGGAATCACTGTTGTGCTTAATGGTACACCCCCACCCCCACCCACCCAACTAACATTTCTAGGCCAGCAGAGCATAAGGTTGTAGGAATAGGAAGCAAAACTTTTACTAGTTTGCTGACTAGGGGTAATGATGAGTGGTACGTTTCTCACTTCTACCTTTTGAGTTTTGGATCTGTGAAGCCTGGCTGTTAGAGACACGGTACTGTGTAGTAGATGCTGATTGAAAGGTTGTACAGCCTTTTGAAGCACCTTGCCCAGCCCTGCAAGGTTATTGCCACCTCACCTATACTGTAACTGTATCTTCAAAGGGCCATTCCACCTTTCTGTCAATTCATTTACTTCTGGGTGGTGAGGAATACAATAAGACTAGTGAACTGTGTGAGTATGAGCCCATTGCCTCACTTCTTTGCTGTAAAATGTGTTCCTTGGTCAGAGACAATGCTATGTAGAATACCATGATGGTACATAGGCATTGTGTAAGTCTACACAGGCTAATTTTGGTAGAAGAATTACATGCAGGGAAGGAAAATTCATATCTAAAATGTCTATGCCAGTAAGGACAAAGCGCTGTCCTTTCCATCATGGAAGCAGTCCAATATAATCAATCCACCACCAGGTCACAGGGTGATTACCTTGGGAATGATGCCATACCAGGGTTTCACTGTTAGTCTCTTTGCTGGCGTATTGGGCATTCAGCAATGGCTGTAGCCAGATCAGCCTTGGT